CCGTTTCAGCCCCCCCCCCCCCCCCACCGTTCTGCCTAGCCCCCCCCCCATTGGTGAAACCCTGGCTACGCCACTGGTCGTACAAAGTGCGAACGAGATAGGTAAAGGTAGAGGGGAAGATTTAGTGAAAGGGGGCATTAGTCTATATTTAGAATTCTTCTGAATGGAAAAATGAAGAATCCTAGGCAATTAGTTGGCTTTGCAGCCATTTAGAGTGCGAGGTTTGAGACAGGTCATCTGTAGGTTGTAGGGAAAAGTTCCCTTCGAAGTAAACGAACACGCTTCTGAGTTTATTACTCACGGGACCAGAAAATCCCTTCGAATTTCATCGTATCCACGTTTCGAATCATCCATTCGATAACGCATACAAATCGCTATCCTCTCGAGCGGGGAACGTAAATGACTTCGAAATATCCGATACTTCGAATTAACGAGGTTTACCTGTAGTGCATTGATACGTAGCAGGCTCATAGTGGCGCATCTTTTGCAGTATGTGTTCGGAAAATTCAATTTTTGTCTCATGTCCCACATTATGCGCTGTAGCACTCTAGGAGGCTTGTAAATTTCGCTTGTCGTCGTGAACAATCGACAGCCTCTGACTTCATATTCAGACAACCACCAACTAGCAGACAACCTATCGTTAGAGCTTCGTCAACCGTATGAACTTGGACTAGGCAAGCCCATGCTCCGTTGCGTGTCTATCGTAAGACCTCATCCTGTCCGGCTGATAGGAACTTAGGATGACACAAGACCTTTCATAGAGTAGGTATGTGCATCGGGTCAGTCTTTGCCAAATCATCACCGTAGATCTAGCCAATTGGCCCTTCTATTCAATAGATCTAGCCAATTGTTAATTGTATGTTTAACAATATTTGAAAATATTGATTGAAAGTAAACATTATGTTATGATACATAGGAAGTAGGCCTCACTTCGCCTTAGAAAAGGTTAAATGGAATTATATGTCAACCATTCATGAGTTACCATGAAATTACCCTTTTCTTTAGCATTCTTTGGCAAAATGTCCAGGAAATATGGTGTTCCATATTGTAACTCTGGGTATAAAACATACAAGAAAAAATTCCTCCTGTTTGCAACTCCAAAAAGTGTGGAAGAACTTGAAAAATGGGGGGGAAAAGGCTATTCCAAGAGTGGAATGTGGGAACTTCTTGGAACCAGAGAGCTCATTTGAATGTGAGAGACATTTCAGTGATGATGAAGTGTTGCAGTTTTTGGGAGCACATCAGTAGGCCTTATTTCCTCCCATTTGCGTGAATTTATGGCCAGGGTACACATCGATATCAATATTATCCTCGTATATTATGTGTATGAATTATCTACCGTAGTTCAAAGTAAATAATAGTTTCATTGTGTTCACTCTGCTGGGCTGAGGGGGATATATGAGACAATGGCCACACCCTAAAAGTGGATTATTTATCAGATGGCAAGGCCAAGCAGGAGCATGGAAAACGAACACCTCCCTACAACCTGTATTCGCAAAGTAGTAAAAATCTTCTCTCCCGGAGAGCAGGACACTGACTAATCTACGCATTGGCAAAGTACGAGCTAAAGTGTTTTCGCGTTAGTCAGACAATTCTTCCTTTGACTGTGGATTCTCTAGCATGAGTGAGTCAAGTGAAAAACACAGTATAAACCTGACCTTTCAATAGCAGCATATTCCAGGGAGAACACTGGATGCCCATGGTTAAAGAAAGAAAGACTAGCAGTAGAACATGTTGCTTTATGCGGGCAATGCGTGGGCCTGCTGCTGCTGCCACTGCCATCTGGTGGGAGCTCGAGTCCCCAATTAACCATAAGACTCGAGTCCAGTGACCATAGCTATCTAGGGATCATGTTACAATCGCCATTTGATAGTCTTGCCTTCGGATATGGACATGCGCTCTGAGTTCCTCAAGCGAACACTAGATAGCATTTTAACTCTTTAATGGTGCCAAGTCCCATTGAACGTCCAGACCCTCTGCAGTCCAGACCCTCAAAACATGGTCCCGATTCGTCACGCCTTAGATCCGCATTCACTCTCAATGAATTTGGTATGGGTTTTATACAGTGACATTGCCAGGATTTCGCCATGGGGGGGGGCTAAATCTCACGGTCAGGGGCTGGAATTTCCGTTACTTCTCGCAGGGGGGGAGGGCTGGAATTTCCGTTACTTCTCGCAAGGGGGGGGGCGAAGGCGGATGCATTTTGACCAGAGTTGGGGGGACTTGAACCTCACTTTGGAGGGGCTGAAACCCCTCTCCTCGCTACGCATTGATTCCATACCACAGGGAGGTGGAATGAACGAGTGTCATGCCGCATTGGGCATCTCATGAATGGGTTTTGTGAGGAGACCTGAGAATGCCTATTTAAACCTAGTATATCTCTGCAATCATTTCGAGCTTTGGCGAAAGAACACCTCTACGAAATAATGGACATTATTACTCGAGTGCCGGTTGTGTTCCTTTACGTTTCCAATTCAGGTTGACGTTGCCTCTTTTTTTAAATATACTTATCTGAAATGCATGTTCACGAAAAAATTCAAACAATTTAGCCGTCGACATGTTGGAATGTGAAGCGCTACAGGTTCACATTCGGGACGTATTCGGCAGAATGCACCCCACAAGAGCGCTGACCCACGTTTGCCGATTGGTCCATCAAGTTTTCCATCCTGTCGTTCGATTGGGTATGAATATTACATATCAGAGACCGGACGGAAACGAGTGAGAGTCCTCCCCCCCTCCACACCTAGTGTGAATGAGCATGCAGAATGAGTATGAGAATGTGAATGAGTACGCAGAACGATGTAAGCACTAAATTCCATCGAGCGTAAACCGAGGAAAACATTGCGCCGGAAGTGCGGAGGGAATGAAGCAGCGACATCCTCCATGCAACGACATCCTCCATACGACAACGCATCCCGCTCGCACCTCGCAAGCGCGAGTCTCAATCATAACTCATGCTTTGAAACCCGCGCCAGGAATCAGTTCGAAAAGAAAACCCTTTACTCGAATGGGGAGTAAGTACATCCTGAGAGGTGGAGACGACGCGGCTCGCAGCACATCCTTCTCGTTATAAGTCCTTCTTCATCCTCGCCGTCCAATCCACGGCTGAAAGAGAAAGATAGATTCAAGCCACTTTCCAGTCGTTCCTCGGCTCATTTTCACTCGACGTCTATGGAGAACTGAGAACTTCACTACTGTTTCACATCAGCGGCTGTAAGTATTTAAGCTAGCAAAACGTATCGAAGATCGATCGACTGACCTCAAGTATAAATTCGGACATAATCATTCCAGTAATCAATTCTGAAGGTGAGCTCAATCATCGATTGAGAAGCCGTAGTGTCATTGAGGAAGGTGGGAGCACTAGTTAGCATTAGGTAGCACTAGATAGCACTGGGTAGCACTAGGTAGCTCTTGGACTACTACCTGGACAGCCTGGAGGGATCTGGGCCCTGTCGTTGCAGAAGCAGAGGCAGTCGAATTCGTCGATATGGCAGACACCGACCACGATATCGTTAGGGAAAGCCTCCCGGCACCGGATAAAGCACTGAGCATCATTTGGAGACTCGTAGTCGCACGTGGACAGCCCGCAGTGGCACGGGGGGAGCGGGGGGTCGGTCGTGTCGAAGCATTCGTCCTGGCCTGCAAACGGGTCGACTTGTCAACGTGGCTTATCCGTGGAAGTTGGTGGGTTCGTATTTAGGAGAGGAGCGATACATTTACATAAAAAATATTGTCATACAAAGGAGTAAATACGACCACGTTGAGTAAACCGTCGAGGAAAAGTAACTGGAACTTGAATTTCCTTAAGAAAAATATCGCGAGTTTGGAAGGGAAAAAAAGGACTCGACTGGGAAATCATGGAAACAAACGTTACACTGAAAGCTGGTGGGTCCATTACCAACTTAGGATAGGTTAAAAGGAGGGGGAGAAGGAGGAGGATCGCAATAATTTCCTTGGCCGGACCAAGTTGGTTCTATTGAGGTGTTAAATCCACTTTTCTCTCTTTTCCGGAGAAAACGTTGAAATCCATTCAGCCTCACCGAAAAGTAGAAGCGGTAACCACATAGGCCTCCCGAGTGAGTTCATGGGAACACATACTCGACCAGGTATGCTTCTTACGTGCAGAAACTCAACCATCACCACCAACAAACTTTAACTCTCCGACCAGAAGCATCCATTATAAAGAGTGAGGACGAGGGAAAATCCGTAAAGCCAAATCACGCCAGCCTCTTCAGCAGATCAGTCGGGCTGATGCGATCCCATCTGCCCCCACAGGAATACCCAAAAGCCATCACAACTTCTCCCTGTACCTCCTCAATATAGCAATATCTGCTCTCTTCCCCCCACCCCCACCCCCAAGAAGTTCTAGCTCGTACAACTAATTCCGCGAAAATCCCGTATGCCGAGAAAATACTGAAACGGACTATACCGAAAGCGGCAGCGACGCAAACGAGGAGAAGGAAGGGAAGGATCGTCATTCTGCGACACTTCCTTGTGGACGTGGATGGAACAGATGACGCAACCACCAACTATGGATCCTACAGCAGCTGTACTGCGGGTCGGACCCCTCCTTATATATCTTTCGGATCGTGACGTCATCCGTCATCGTCTTTCGGGATGCACTCGCGACGAACGAACTCGACGGATGCCACCCGCTTCTCGGGGATTCCTTGCGTCCGCGTTTTCCGATGGAAAATTTGAGACGACGAGCTGACCCTGGGTGAAAGCTCTCAGTCGTGGGGTGCGAGGCGTTCCGGACGGGTCGGCTTCAGTCGGTCGGGGGAACGTGGACTCGCGAGCGCGAGCCGGTTTTTTTTTTATCGTTTCGTCGCCACGGAAATGATGTTCCGTTTGGTGATTTGAATTTCGTAAATCCTCTGGTTCCCTCCAGTCGACAAAAAATATTTCGAAGTTGGATTGTTCGTTGAGGAAGTCGCATTCGCCTCGGTCGATCTCGTGCGTGTTACCCAGGACGTTTTCTCTCGTTCGACGCGGCCCCACTCGCATCGCCTCGCGTGGGAGCAAGCGGGTGCTCCCCGCCGATAAGTGCGGAGAAAATAGGCCACGACGGGAATTGCACATTTCCGAGAAAGAGAGAGAGGGGGGGGGGGGGGGGGAGGGAGCTTCCGAGAGCCTGTTTCTTCCCCGTGCGCCGTTTCCCNGGGGGGGGGGGGGGGGAGAGAGCTTCCGAGAGCCTGTTTCTTCCACGTGCGCCGTTTCCCAGGCGAACCGGATCTATCCTCGTTCCGGTCTTCCGAGCCTCGAATATCGTTTCCGCGAGATCGCCGGGAGGGGAAAGAGGATGGAGCACGAAAACCGCGGAAGGAGGCGGCGGATGGCAGTGACAAAACTTTAAAATAACTGCTATTCTTTCCCAGGAGCGATTCCTCTAGGCCGGTACCTTCAGTACCTTCAGTACTTTCCCGTGGGTTCCTCACTCGGGCGCGCGTCCGTTTCCTAATCGGAATGGTGATTGCGCAAGCGTGTTGGACTTCTCTCATTGGACATTTCGCGCGAAGCGGGACCGTGTGCAGTGGAGTGTCTATTATCTTCCCCGATTATCCGCTTTTAATCCAGGTTCTGCGAGGGCAAGCTTGCCCCACTTGCCCCACTTGCCCCACTTCCCCCTTGGGGCTCTGGCAGGGTCCGAGGGACCGTCCTCGCGCCGAGAGCGATTCGGATTCGTTTCTTCGCGATCCATTCGCGCGGGAAACGACGTCCTTTCGCGGTCAGCCCGAGGAAATTTCCTTTTTTTCGTGCATGCACTTCACCGTAACCGAAGCGAAAAGCGAACCCCGTCCGGGAATCTCCCGATCGCGAGGCACGGACGCAAGAGGGGACACGAGGCGAACATCCGCGAGGGTGATGACGTCAGAGCCGTCGTCTGCCGCACGGGGGCGAGCCGGTCTCCGAATGCTACGAATGGCGCAATCGCCATCGCAGTCGGTCCTTTATTGGCTCGTAATTGCAGTGGGGCGACCCGAGTTTGACCTTTTTTTTTTGCGAGTCGGGATCGGGAGTTTCTTCTAAGAATCGAGATGTTAAAGCTTAAGTGGGAACGGAGGGAAGGGGGATTATGGTATGGATAAGCTTCCCGAGCCGATCCTTGAGATTACAATTTTTTGTTTGTTAGCTGGCAGTCTCGACGTTTCGGAGGAAACGGAATCTCCTTTGCGCGGAGCAATCCATTCGCGCCCAGAAGGGGAAGAAATCCGCGAAAATCGTTGAAGAAAAATAATCAATGAAGAATGGGAAGAAGAGACAAAAAATTGGAGAACTCTGGTGACGTGGACGAAGCGAATGGGAAACATGGCGGAAGGTGGGAGGAGGGAGGGAGGGGAGACGAAGGGGGAAGGTGGGGGAAGAGATTAGAAAAGAAGCTTGAGAAATTCTTGATCGGACAGTCTTGAAGACGAGAATTGCCGTTCTCGCACGAACGTTATTCAAATTTCGTATTAAAATCTGGAAGCGGAAAGTAGAGAAGCGAAAGGAGAATCGCCGAGCGGATGGAGCTTCATTTCCCTCGTTTCCGGCCTTGTCGTCGAAAACGCGTTTGATGCTCGTCTTCGCCGTGAAGGCGCGAGAGGATGCCATGTGTCTAAATGATATGTTTCTTTTCTATCTATTTTCTGATACGTTTCTGTTGCGTATCGGGCGATGTGGATACATATCTCTCGGATACATATCTATCATGTTTCGGAAATGTCTTTCGTATATTTCTCTCGTTTTGCGAAGCTGGCCTTCACCTGCGGCTTATTCACCCCATTTGTTTACGGATTCGAGGCTTCATAACTGGTATTTTTCTATGCGAAAAAAATTTATGTTTTCTACCGTTGAAGGCATCACGAACTTCTAGTGGCCCTTGCTTTTGCCATAGACGAACGATCTGATGAAGTTTACCGGCCTTCAACAGCACGATCTTTAGCGACCCTGTCCGTCAGGAAGACAGGGAATTCCGATCTCTGGGATAGTTACCGTTCCTTTCGCGCCGAGAGGGGAAAAATCACAGCTGTTAGAGATACGACGCAAGCGCGACTCGATGGCTCACCCGATGAAGGCAAAAGCTGGACTGCTCCCTGCTCCTTCCAATCCAGTAGGAAATTGTTGACCATTCCTCACCTCTCACCCCTCACCAATTCCTCACCCCTCACCCATTCCTCACCCCTTGCATCTGCTAGTCTCGGCTGCCCATCGCCCCCAGTCTTTCCTCATCTACGTAATATTGAAAAGTAGATGGAAGAGAAGCGTTTGCTTGCATTTTAGGGGTGAAGTGTTGTCGATGGAGCCCGGTCAGTTCGTTTTCCGGAACCTCTCGCGACTCGTCCTGGAAGACGACGCCGATGACGTCACGACACGAAAGCTATATAAGGGTAAAGTGCGGCGTTCCGGGAGCAGACCTGCAGTGGACTCCGCCGCTGGAGGATGTTCTCTTTCGGATCTATCTGCTTCCACGAGGGGTCTCGTAGGATGATGAGTCTTCCCTTCCTTCTCCTCGTTTGCGTCGCTGCCGCTTTCGGTATCGTCCGTCTTTTCTCGTGGATTTGGGAGTATTTGTCGCTTCTCCGGGGGGGTTGCTACTGTGGGAAAGACGCAGGGAAAAAGGGATCATGGCGCTTAGATTACACTGGCTATGTCTGGCTTTTGCTGGTGTGAAATTCGCTCGTCTTATTTTTTTATCAGAATTATCGATGTTCGTTGTCATTCCGAATTATGGTTGTTCATTCGATTCATGCACTCTGGAATCCTTCATTACCCTCGTGGGATTCCAAAGCACGCAAAATAATTGCGAGGAGCACCAATTATAGCTACAGAAACCTCGAGACCAAGCGCAAATCTCCTCGTTGAATTCCCTGGCTGTAAGGAACTATCGCTCAAGATTTCCGATCCTGCTCGCGCTTTTCTCGACGTTGACAGCATCAGATGCAGCAGACTCGAGCAAGCTGTTATGCAAATGAAGCTGATAGTGGCATTTATACCAAAACAGTGAATACTTCTCTGAGCAGATGAGAATCTAAGTCCTTCACGAATCCATGGGGTCAAGGAATAACAGTGATTTGAATAATTAAAATCTGCTACTTTTTCCAATAAGATGAAGTGAGGAGGAACATGGAAATAAATATGGAACCAAATGCTGTTTGGTTCACTTCTCACCTTGCAAATGCATGAAAACAGCAGTCATCGCTTAAGAAAACTTTTTCGACGTACACTCTTATAAAAAAGTGAGCGATGTCCGAGAAAGGGAGCGAAACTGGAGTTAGCGGTTTTACTCCCTAAAAACGAGGAAGTACAATCGATAACTACTCCTTTATGAGAGCAAAATCCATATTTTTTAAGAGCGCGAAGCGAATGAGGGAGAGTACTTTTCAAATTAGTAGAAAACGTTTGTGGTTGTTCATAGGAAAGAGTGAGATGAGCGGCATTACTTCCTTGTTTTTAGGGAGTAAAACCGCTAACTCCAGTTTCGCTCCCTTTCTCGGAAATCGTTCACTCTTTTCTAAGTGTATCGTAGTTCCTACCGTTAGTAACGTAATTGCCTACGAGTAGCCTTTGTTCTGACGATGACCCCGAAACACCGAGAGGATGAAACCGAAAATGTATCCCTTTCCAAAGACCAAAGGCAACGGTTGTGCAACGCCCATCAACGACATTGCAAAAAAAGTGAAGGCCCACTCAACGAATGACGAGTGAACGCCGCTGGGGATCTCATTGACAAATTGCTGATACCAAGATGGCAGCACAAATGGAGCTTACTGCGTCGTAATGGGGCGTGGTTATTCTGTGCCATTTCGAGAGTCCGGTCGAGCACCAACGATACTTCTGGAGTGTCCTTAATGAAGGGCACTCCAGAAGTATCGCCCTTCATTGTCGGCATGAAGGAAAATTTGCGGACGTGCTAGTAACTTTCTTCAACAGGGGTGGGTTTAGGCTCTCATCCAAGGTAGGTCCGATACTAGAAACTCTTTCATGCTAAGCAAAAGCCAAAGCGAAGGTCAGCTCATGCTCATGGGTGAGACTTCACCTTCGGAAAGCTAGTTGTAATCGAATGATGATATGATCTTTGGGATGAGGATTCATCTGGATCGGAGGATTCATCCGGACGAACAGCTGGAATGTCGTCGAGAAAACGGCGGAAAGCACAATCCAGTTTAAAATGTCCGTTGGTTTATCGTCGGGCCATAGCTGGGGAAATTAGCTCATTTTCGGCGAATGATTGGCTGCCCAATCATTCGCCGAAATTCGCCAAGATGAGCCAATGTGGCTGAAAAGGTTCCGAAAACCGGCATGAGATGGAGCCAAAGTGGTCGTAGTAGGGAGTCACTTCCCAGATTCTTCCGAAATAAGTCCCCTGTCCCTTTGACACGGTTCCCTATGGTTTCTCACATAGATCTCAGAGGAAGACAATTGAATTCCTTGAAACATTTCTCTGATGATGTTACCCAGCCCTGGAATAAACAGGAAATTCCGATCCGGAGGTCCGTGGGAGGATCCTACTACTTTCCACGATAAGCTACGCGACCTTTTCCCTATACTTAGAGACGTTGAAAAGTCTTGTACAGGGTGACTTTAAAGTCGCCCAACCCATACATTTGCATATATCTCCGGTTGCACTTGCGGGAACAACACATATTTGGGCCAATGTGTAGACCTGATGTATAAGGTCACAATTGGAAGTGCCTGCCATTATGTGCTATACACGCTTAAACTCGACGACACATGTTTTCTGCGACGCGGTGAAGCATGTCCTGGGGAATGCCAGCAATTAACTCGATGATGATGATGACTCCTTTAGCTCTTCAATTGAGTGTAGGCCCGCTCCTTAAGCGTTTAGCACAGAATGGCAGGCACTTCCAACATCTCTTGTAACGCATTGTGACCCTATATATCAGATCGACCGCGTGGCGTATGTTGTTCCCGTGAGTGCACCCGGAGATATATGAACATGTATGGGTTCGGCGACTTCAAAATCACCCTGTATAAGGCGTGCCTGGCCTTCTGCGGGAGGACAGATACCCTTGTAATCCCATGTGATTCCGCTCCTGGATGCCTTAGCATCTGGAAGGGATGTTGCTTGGGATATTCTCAGCCCCTTGGCGATAGGAGTTTACCGTGGAAGGTATTGTTCCTTCATCTCTCCCTGATGAAGGAGCAGTAGGGGGTCAAAGGATCTCTCCAAGATGCATAATGCTCTACGAGGTAGATCCAGTTTGTGTTTTTTTCCTATATCTTTTCACCATTGTGAAAAGTCGTCTCATGGTTGGGGCATGTACAGTTTCCCAATAATGAGCCAAAGTTGGCCCGATGAAGGACCAACAGGACGTGCCCGACCGTAAGCAAGCTTAAACCAACCGTAATCCAACTATATGCCAGTGATGGCCCAACTGAGGCTTACGTACGTGTCGACGAAAGGTCATCGATGACCCGATGAAAAATTTTTGACTGGGAAGCTAGCCTTCGACGGTCCTTCCTTCACACGCTGGTAGTGAACTCAAATTTGTGAGCCCACTACCAACTTTTGAAGGTAAAGGAAAGGATTCCCGCTCCATAGCTTCTTTGCCGATACATTTGCAAGTAAGTATTTACTGAAATTCTGATTCCGATCACCGACCTTCGACAGCTCATTCGACTTCGTGATATGCATGCATCCGAACGGATGCATGCAGATCTAAATGTACCTTTCCTCTGCCCCCTTTCCTTCCGTTGATTCTTCGATCCGTTTGCAGGCCAGGACGAATGCATCGACACGACCGACCCCCCGCTCCCCCCGTGCCACTGCGGGCTGTCCACGTGCGACTACGAGTCTCCAAACGATGTTCAGTGCTTCATCCGGTGCCGGGAGGCTTTCCCTAACGATATCGTGGTCGGTGTCTGCCCGTCCGAAGGAAACGACTGCCTCTGCTTCTGCAACGACAGGGCCCAGATCCCTCCGGACTGTCCAGGTAGCCGTCTGTGTGCAGCCTGGTGTTCGTACATAGTGCTCTCTCCTTCCTGATGCAGAGACGCCTTCTTTTCTCGATAGCTGATTTTGCTTACAATTAGAAAGGTGCAAATGTTTATGTTCGAGATGGTTGTAAAGTTCAGTCTATGGATATTAACCGTTTGGCGGTTACGCCCTGATATATCTTTACGTGTAGTCCCGTGCCTCACAGGTTAAGCACTGATATATCAGTTTTTACACTTTGAGGCTAAACGGTTACTTACTCATATATCAGTTCATGGGTATATACAACCATATTCATGGAAATATTAATCCATAGATATATTCCGTGGGAATATCCCCGTAGAATATTCTTATGGATTTCTTTCCATAGAAACACTCATTCTCCAAATCGAGGGTTTCGAAAGGTCCAGCCACTTATATATATATATATAGTAATGAGGTTTTCAGTTTTTCATCGAGTGGAAACGAATTGCCTTTGCGCTGAGGAGGGTGTGGGAAATGGCTTCACCATGCCTGTCTTCCTCTTTCAGTCGTGGATTGGGTGGAGAAGATGAAGCTGGACTTGTAACGTGGAGGATGTGCTGCAAGCCGCGTCCTTTCCGTTTCTGAGTGTGTACTCACTCCCCGTTGGAGTAAAGGATTTTAGAGCCTCTGAGTGGCATTGAGTTATGATTGAGATTCGCCTGTACGAGGTTTGAGCTGGATGTGATCTCCTGTCCCGAAGCGAAATCCCTCCGAGCGCCGGAAGATGGGAACCTAGCGGGTGGGGAGGACCTAACTGCATGGAGGATGTCGTAATTTCATCCCCTTCGCTCATCGGGCTTGGTGTTTTCCTCCGTTTACCCTCTGTAGAATTTCGTGTTTCCATAGTTCTCCATGTACTGTAGTTTCGATGGTTCACTCGCCTGAGGTGCGAAGGGCAGGTGAACCTCCTTCCAGCACCAAGAACGCAGGATATCCACTGCAGCGTGGATATCTCGTTCAAACCTGTCTCCAGCAGTTTGGTCTCCTGCTGGGAAGAACTGCATACCCACCCACCCCTCCTCAGGGAGGGACCACTCCTCCTCCACATAGCAAAAATGGTAGGTTAGAAAGGAATGGGATCAATAAACAAAAGCCTATCCGTGTGATTCCCGCTTTCAAAAAAAAAAAAAGACAGTGGTAATGTCGGTTCCGTTGTTTGACCTTGCACTTACATTTGTTATCATTTCGAAGCCGCTATTAAACTAACATTGAATAGAGTTCTTTCCAGCAATAAATTTTAATATTTAAAATAAGCATCTTGCGATTTTCCTTTTGCGACTTATTGGATAAACTGTAGGTTTAAATGTAGATCAAAGTGCTCCCCAGGATCTCTTCCTATAAGAGGAATCCTACATATGCCTGGGCAAACTCAGCATATTGCGTGGCTTGAATGCATATTGCACTCATGAAGGCATACATGAATTTTACGTATCACTTCATCTTTTTTCAAGTGACTCCGTAAATGAGCTCATTGCCGAGAGCTTCAGGGCTTTTACAGCTGGGAAGGCCATACTTGCTACCCAATTTTGTCTGCTGTGGAAATCTGCCAGAAAGTGTTGAAAGTGGCTGTTGTCTTTATCACAGCAGAACAATCTGATTAAGTTTTCTGGCCCTCAGTACCACACGTGCATCAGTGATTGCAACCACAGAACGAGCGTGACTGCAACAAGACCGACGAGAAATTGCAGAAAATTCGAGAAGCCTTAGGGCTGTGGGCTCACCGGCTTACCTATGGGCATGCCACGATGCCCACCTACAATCGATGTGTCAGAATACCTTTCACTTCATCGGTAATAAAGCTGAGACAAGTATGAAGTTGAGTCGAGCCGTGAAGTATAACCGTGTCCAAGAGCTTCTGTAAAAGAATAACTGGACTTACATCACTTCTCTTGTGGCAGAGGAATGTGGCTGCTCGAAGCCGAGGGGGATGTGACCACTCGTCCCTGCTGAAAAAACCTCATGAGAATCTCAAAAGGAAACCTCATGAGGTTTTCGGGCAGAGGTCTCATGAGAATGACCTCATGAGGTTTGAAACAGATATCTCATGAGGTTGACTTCATGGGATTTTCGCATAGAGGCGCCACTTGCCTCGTGGCCCAATAGCCAC